GGGTAGGGCCTCCCTGAGCCCTCACCTCAGCTTCCTCTGTGAGGGTAGCCTTGTGCTGACCCTGAGGTGTCCTGATGATGGGTAGGGCCTCACTGAGCCCTCACCTCAGCTTCCTCTGTGAGGGTAGCCTCGTGCTGACCCTGAGGTGTCATGATGATACGTAGGGCTTCACTGGGTCCTTACTTCTGCCTCATAGGGGAGACGGCTCACATCTCTTAGCCCCAGGCCGGAGGGAAGGAGGGGGAAGGGAAAAGGAAAGAGTCAGTGTACCTGCTCCAGAACACTCCACCAGGAAAGGCCGTAGGTGTGTCTGTGTTTGAATGTACATGAGTGTTAATGAGTGTGCACATGTGTATCTGAGTGCGGGTTTCTGAGTCTGAGTGCTTGTGCATGTCTGTGAGTGTGGGTGCCTGAGTGTGTGTGAGTTTGTGCACAGGTGTGCCTGAGTGCCAGTTCCTTTGTGTGTGAGTGTAAGAGTCTGTGCACTTGTGTTTGTGTGATTGAGTGCGAATGTGTAGGTATTTTCCAGGGACCTCAAGGCCCCAGAGAATGCAGAACTTGCAGTGTCACACTGCACCCAGAGCAGTGTCCCTGAGCCTCGCCGGGTCACCAGCAGAGTGAGCTGCCACTACCCACCGGGGACAGCGTTCTCGTGGTAAGAGGAGGGGGACAAGCGTTTGGGAAGGTGGAAAGGTGTGACCTTGGCACCTGCTGGCAGCTAGGGGTCAGTTGAGGGCAACAGTGGGAACAGTGGGGGAGCATCTCACAGCCATGACTGGAGCCCCCTTTACACATGTCTGGCCCCTACGGAGTAGAATCTTCACTGAAGAGAATGAGGCTGTTTTAGGAATGAGGGAGCTTTCTAGGTACGTGTCTTCCTGCATAGAGAGTGATGTTGGATGACTAGCTGATCTACCCATTCATAGACTTAGGATCTGTCGTTTTGAGAGTCCCAGGGCGTTGTTCGCGGGATTGCACGTTTAGGAGCTGCCTGATAAACACAGTGCACAGAGACCCTGTTTTAAATGTGGGTGTCTGACGGGGTGGCAGTCGTCCTGATAATAGGGTGGGTTTGCACAGTACGTCAGAGGAGATGCCGCTCCTGGCCGCTGGTCTTGGTGCTGGAGATTTTTGCTGCATGCCTTGTGCACACACAGAGGCCAGGCTTTTGCTCAGATACCTTAACCACTCACTTTGCACACTGCAGTTCCTGAAACATTTCAGCTCTGGAGTGACTTCATGTTTAAAACATGTGTTTCCCCCCCACACACACTTTACTCTAGTGCTCTGAATGTTCAATTATTGATGGCACAGATCTGTATGATTCCAAGAAAACATTAACCCAGCATCCTGTCTTGCCGTCCACCCACACCACGTGTCACTAGCGCCTTGGCAGCAGGGACGGAACGCGGTCCCCTGTGAAGTCACGGCTGTGGGAAGCCCGCGGGCCTGTGGGTAAAACCCGGTGTGCTGGCCTGACCGCGGTTCACAAACTGGAAAGCCTCCCCTTCATCTCTGTGTCCGTGTACACCGTAGCAACGCCGCTGAGCAGGTCAATAATAAAAATCATGAAAACCCAGTCTAGCTGCCGGCTTACGGAAAAGGCCGTCTCAACCTTGTCTTTCTTCCTCACCCTACAGTGCCTCGTGTTTGAAGACGCTCCCAATGGCGTGGAGGCGGCCCTTGCAGCCGGCATGCAGGTGGTCATGGTTCCAGATAGGAACTTGCACCGACACCTGACATCCAAAGCCACCCTGGTGCTGGATTCCCTGCAGGACTTCCAGCCTGAGTTGTTCGGTTTGCCGCCCTTCGAATGAGCGGCCCGCCATGCCTCCCTGGGCGCCACGGGTGACCCACGGCACCTGAGCGGTCCTTCCAGCCCGTGAGGTTGGCCTTCTAGCCCATGTGGGCTCGGCCTCCCCGGATGAGTGCTGACAAACCTCAACGTCCCAGCTGAGAGACAGCAAAGCAGTCACAGCCCAGAACAGAGACGGAAACGCTCATTTGCATAATCATACGGGAATGATCATTCAATGTTACTGCATTTGAATAGTCATGTAATAGTCATGTGCGGCAGATACACATGCATACACGTGCTTGTTTGTGAGTGCTCCTGCATGTGTGTGTATATGTGCCTGTGTATTTATACATACTTATACATATATATGTAAAATGCTTCCTTTCCCAAGACAAAATTAAATTTTATTTGTGTTCATTTCTTTTCCTTTTCAGTTTTTCTAAACCCTGGCTAGAAAAAGTTAAATATGTGTACATACATCTATATGCTCACATATATGTGTATATATATGTATGTACAGATAGATTATATTTATATACTTCCTATACAACTTCACTTTTTTAAGTGTTGGTCTTAATGTGCTATAGCAGCTGATAGGAGTGAGATCATATCTGCATTTCATTTGCAATCTGAGTGGAAACACCACGTCATGGACGAGCCCTGAGAAATCATTCTCCTTATTAGCAAAATGGACCATCTTTCTGTGCCCTCGAAACCTCTCTGTGGACCTCCACTCAGAGGCCAGGCCCTCAAAACCTCTCTGTGGACCTCCACTCAGAGGCCATGCCCTCAAAAC